ATGATTCTGGAAAATGCTCTTGCTTATTCATGCTACCTTCCCAAAACAGGGTGCTTAATTTATGCTGAGATGTGCTGTATATGAGAAAACATGGTAGCTTTTGAGGGTTGGTGGGATGGCACTGTCCATCTTGAACTACATTAAACCAACTTGTAGGGGGCTACAGAAACAAAGTGAGGGTCTTGTTTGAGCGCGTGTGGTACATGAGAAAATAGGGTGATTTGTCACCAAGTGACAATGGCTTGGAGATACCAGGAAGGCATGATGGGTATTCAGAACTGGGGCTGATCATCTCTCACCTGAGCCTCCATGTTGCTGTTCACGGTGATAAAAGCCTCCCGGAAGAAGACGAAGATCGCCGTGGCCGACAGGACACTGTCCTTACGGCATTTGCTGACTTCCATCACCACCTTGAACCAGTTGGGCGATGCTTCGTTGCAGAGGGCAGCCACCTTGTATGTCCCACTGTAGAGCAGCTGCCCAGAGGCCCCATCAAATGTGGTGAAGTAGGCCCCGGGGGTCAATGTACACCGGCCTTCCTCCATCATGCAGCCCAGGCCCCCAGCCCGGAGGGCACATGTCCGCCCCACAGGGCAACTAGTCGCCTCACAGACAAGCCCACCTGAGGTGTGGCAGGAGCATTTCTCCGAGCAGTTGCTAGTGATGACTCGTTCCTCGGCCTGTCAAGAAGAGCCCAGACAAACACCCAATCAAGATAGCTCCACTTATTGCTCCGCAGGAATTGTTTTTTATGTCTGCTCCTGTCCAAGGGTAAGCAAAAGCTAAACAGTTATAATTCCATTCCAATGTAATTGTGATAATTTCAACAGTTTAACAGTAACAATTCCATCCCAATTTGATTAATGGTGATGATTCCATCCTAATTCAATTAATGGCGATAACTCCACCCCAATATAATTGTGCTAATTCCAACATTTTAATTAGCGGTGATAATTCCATCTCAATTTAGTTCACTGTGATCATTCCAACAGTTTGATTAACTGTGATGATTCCCTCCCAATTTAATTAACAGTGATATTTCCATTCCCATTTAATTAGCATGAGTGGTTTCCTTCACAGAGAAATAACTCCTTTTAGGGAAAGCACTTTTCCTTTCCAGTTGCAGAGAGGACGACATTGGTCAATGGTTTGATGCTGCAGCAAAGGAGGCTGAGGTTGTATCTCAGGAAAAATGTGTTCCCTGTTAGAGTCAGGAGGCAGCAGGAGAGACATCCAGGGGAACTGGGGACTCTCCATCACTGGAGGGGTTCAAGGAGAGGCTGGACAGACACTGGGCAGGGTTGCTCTAGGTGGAGCTAGGCCTACACCTACGGGAGTTGTGGGCTCTCCATCACTGGAGGGTTCAAGGAGGGGCTGGATGGCCACTGGCTGAGGGTGATGTAGGTGTCGTGATGCCTGTGCTTTGCTATGGGGATGTGTCCCAGGCTTCTGGGCTGTACAGGTTCTCCCCTTCCCCACTTTCTGCTCCATGTGTCAGGGGGTTTCTAGGCCTCCCCCAGAGGCACTGGGTGGTAGGGCTGTGTGAGGCTTCGGACTGTGCTTTGGATCTGGAGAAGATTCAGACACTTTGCATGCCAAAGCAGCATGTCTGGATTGAAGCACTGGCTTCTTTAGGCTTTCTGAAGCCGTTTGGAGTTTCCAAACGGCTTCGGAAAAGCTTCGGAGCCGCCTCGGAGATCCGGCCGTAGGGCATAATGGGGAATCAATGAAATATCTATAAATTTGTTGTTTTTTGTCTGATTTGGATGAAACTTGCAGGGGTGGTATCCCCTGGTGAGACCACAAAGCCTGCCAAGTTTCAAGATCGGTGCAGGGGTTTGTGGGGAACTGCAGCTCAAGCTGCTGACAGGCAAAACTCATGACATAGATGACCGAGTGTGCGTTAAGGCACAGCAGGCTGAAAACTGCAGGGATGGTGACTCCTGCTGAGGCCACGAAGCCTGCCAAGTTTCAAGGAGATAAGTTCAGGGGTTTGAGGGAACTGCACCTCAAGCTGCAGCCAAGCAAAACTCGTGACATGGGTGACACTGTGTGTTAAGGCGCAGCAGGGTGAAAGCTGCAGGCCTGATAGCCCCTGCTGTGCCCACAAAGTCTGCCAGCTGTCAAGGAGATCGGTGCAGGGCTTCTGGGTTTTGGGGCCTGCACCTCTAGCTGCTGACAGGAAAAGCTCGTGACATGGGTGCTCGTGCAACTGTGTCTGTCTTGGGCACGGAGTGGGGGTGGGGGGGACTACTGCAGGCCTGGCTGCTAAGCTACTGTCTTACCAGTTACCAATCAATCATGATTCACTCAGGGACCAGCTCAATACACAGGACCTAGCTACTAGTAGCTACTAGATAACGAGTTAATTAGCAACAATTAACACCTACAAAACCACAGACTAAGCAGAGGAAATAATCAATACAGACAATCAACGGCCCCAAGACAGACACAGTCAGTTGCACGAGCACCCATGTCACGAGTTTTGTCTGTCAGCAGCTAGGGGTGCAGGGCCCCAGAACCCCCCTGCATCAATCTCCTTGACAGCTGGCAGGCATCATGGCCACAGCAGGGGCCACCACCCCTGCAGTTGTCACCCCGCTGCGACTACCATCCCTGTAGTTTTCAGGCCACTGAGCCTTAACACACACAGGGTCATCTATGTCACGAGTTTTGCCTATCAGCAGCTTGAGGTGCAGTTCCCTGCACACCCCTGCACTTATCTCCTTGAAACTCGGCAGGCTTCGTGGCCTCAGCAGGTGCCACCACCCCTGCACTTTTCAGCCCACTGTGGCTTAACACGTACACGTGACATGAGTTTTGCTTTCAAGAATTTGGGGTGCAGTTCTCCCCAAACCCCTGGACCGATCTTCTTAAAACTTGGCAGGCTTTGTGGTCTCACCAGGGGCTATCATCCCTGCATGTTTAATCCAAATCAGACAAAAAACAACACATTTATAGATATTTAATTGATTCCCCATTATACCCTATGGCCGGATCTCCGAAGCGGCTCCAAAGCTTCGGAGCCACTTTGGGCAAATCAAAGTGGGAAACTGATTTAGAGCTCTGGATCAGATCCCTGGGATCTGAAGCGGCCAGATCCAAAGCCAAATCCAATAGCTACCTATTCGCACAGGCCTACTGGGTGGTGGCTGCAGCCCAGGGTGGGGATGGGGACTCAGCTGTCCCAATGTTCCTGCTGGGTCCAACCCCAGAGGGCCCTGGCTAGAGGGTCTTGCCCCTGCACGCAGGCTCAGACCAATGCCAGATTTTCGGGTCAGGAAGGAATTTTAACCCCTGGTGAGACTGGTATGGGGCAGGGAGATTTCCTTCATCTGTAGCAGGGGCGCGGCCTCTACCTGGGGTCTCTGGAGTATCTATTAACAACCTTCTACAGCAGCAAGATGTTGGTGGCCACGGTCCCCCTGCTTTCCCTGCACCAGGTTTGGCTGTGATGTCCTGGTTGTGTCAGGGCTGATGGTAGTTTTACAAAGAGGTTCGATGCTGGATTTGTCTGGGATGGTTTGTTCAGGGCTGATCCTGCCCCAGGCAGGGGGTCAACCAGATGTGCCCTCTGGAGGTCTCTTCCATCCCCACCTCTCTATGATTCGATGATGGCATTGCACCATGATCCAGAAGGAGAAAAAGGATGAGACAATACAACTATGGAGAGAAAGATGTTTGAATGGGATGAAGACCATGAACAAACATCATAGTTGTGAAGAAGAAGGTAAATCATAGAGAAGCTGGGATGGAAGGGACCTCTGGAGGCCATGTAGCTTCTGGAAGCTTATGTTGCCTTTCCCCAGTTATGCCCCCTTCCTCCACCCACCTGGAGGCCTCAAATGGCCAGTCCTGTCCACCCACAAAGGCACCACCCACGCTGATACCTTAACTCCCACCTTAAAGTAGCGCCCTTCCCGCAGGCAACCGCACTGCTCCATCGACACACAGGACTCCCCATCGAACATGTAGCCATCATCACACTGGCAGCCTTCAAAACATCTCCCAGCGCACTGGCTGGGCACGGATAAGCTGGCACATGTGAAGTCACAGGACCTGGTACATGCCTCATAGCGGCTGTGGGGTGGGCAGGCAAGAGCTGGGAGGGGGAGAGACATGCACGAGCATGAAAAGTGCAATTAACAGGAGGTATTTTACAAAGTAATTATAAAGCCATAAAAATGGCTGTCCAGCTACAAAAATATCTTTCTATATCTATAGCTGCCTGGAAGCCAGCTCTAGAATTGTTACCCATTCTCAAGGATTATATCTGTGGCTGGTTGGCTCTTTTTGTACCTGGACGGCCATTTTTATGGCATCATAATTACTTTGTACATGTGGCTGGTCTAAATTATTGCATAATTCACTAGAGATTTGGGTAATATATGTAATGTGTAACGGGGGCCCTAGAGTTGTTACACATTTTCAAACACCAACTATGTAGCTGGTTGACTTTTTTTGTAGCTGGACGGCCATTTTATGGCATGCTAATGACTTTGCACATGTGGCCAGGATAAATTTATTGCGTGATTCACCAGGTAATTGTGTGATCATTACTTTGCATGTGTGGCTGGTCGAAATAACCCTGAGCTGATGCTACCAGCTGGGGCAACCCATGTTGGGTGAATGAGCAGGATATGCAGGCCAGGCTGGAGGCTGGTTACTTACGGCAGAATGTGGCGGATCTCCAGACACCAACCTCGGCTCCAACCACTTGGCAGGCGGCCATGTAGGCTTGGAGGCTCTGGCAGAGGGTCTCCTGCGCCCCATTAGCTGCACACATGTCCTGGAGACAGTATCTGTAGTAGTTGTCGGGGGTGACCAGCAAGTGGCAGCTGGCGAAGGGGCCAGATGTGGCTCGGATGACCCCACAAGAGGTCTTGGCCCGGTACGGCGCCATCTTGGTTTCATCACACACAGGGCATTGGTCTCCACAGCCATCCGAGCATGTGGCACCGTCTGTGGGGACCTTCCAGGAGGCCACAAAGTTAACCATGTTCTTGGCCATCTTGCCATTGGGCAGCAGGAAGTCGTCACTCTCATCCCCATTGAAGTTGCCACCCAGGCCACACACGTGACCCTGGTAGGTGCTGGGGACGGTCACCAGGACGTAGGAGGAAGTATCATAGAGGACGCGGAGGCCAGAGGCTGCCTGGATTATGATGTTGTTCCCTTCCTGGTTGGCCCAAATCTTCCTGTCGTTCAGAGCCAGGGGCAGGGTATGGAGCTCCCCATTCACCTGAGCCAATGAGAGATTTGCCTGTCAAGGCTGGGTTGTGACACACACACTCTTACACATGCATGTACAAATGCATGTAGACTCGCATGTGCAGAGACACACACACGCACTTACGTGTCTGGACATGTTTTCAGGTATACGCGCACACAGATTCAGGCCTGCACACACATACACGCAGACTCAAGCACATGTGCACTTACACACACTCACACAGTCACACCAATGCATCTACACACACTTGTATACACATACTGACTCATACATGCACATTCACTCACACACACACACACTAATATGCATTTGCACTTGCACTCACCTCCACACTTGCATGTATATACAGACTCATACACATATGTGCTTACACACAGACTCACCCACACACTTATACACATGCATACACTCGCAGACTCACACACACACAGATTCAGGCACATGCTCATGCCATCTTGCACACACAGTAACACATACATAAACTCACACATGCACTCACACACAGATTCAAGCATGCACACTCACACGTGAGCAGACCCACACACTCACACACAGACACACACACTCACATACACATGCAGACTCAAACACGTGCATTTACACACATGCACTCACACCCATGCATCTACACACAAACGTGCACTCACATGCACATGCCAGTGCTTACACATGTACATGCATTCACATGCATACACATCACATACTCATGCATTTGCATATGCCTTCACCTCCACATCCGCATGCACATACAGACTTGCATACACGTGTGCTTCCACAGACTTGCCCACATGCATACACTCACACTCATGCACACACAGATCCAGGCATGCACATACACACTTGCACATGTATCCCATACCTGCATCCACACACACTCACACGTGCACATGCAGACTCCCACTCATACACAGACACATACACGTGCACAGGCAGGTACCCACATGGGCTTACACACAGACTCACCCATGCCCACACATGCCGACTCCCACACACAAATTTCTACACTCTCCCACTGCACACAGATGGTTAGCTGCCAGCTCTTCCAACCAAGGCACTCACCGCTGCTTTCCAGTGCCTCCCCCTCTCCATAGTGATGGTATAGCCATAGGTAGAGACCACCACAGTCCGTGTCAGTGTCCTGGCCCCGGGCCCAGCCTGGTCATTCTCCACCACCACAGAGAAGTTGGCCAGATGTGGCTGCTTGCCGCAGACTTTGGCCAGCATGTAGGCACAGGAGCCCTGGATATCAAAGGCCCAGCCGTCAAAGGAGACATAGTGAGTATCTCCAGACAACACAAGCTTCCCATAGGCCACAGGGTGGCAGCCCAGAATGCCATTCTCCACTCGGCACTCCTCACCGGAGCCACATGTGGCCAGCTGGCATGTCACCACCCCATTGGCCTGGCACTGACATCTCTCCCGGCAGGAGGTGTCGGTGTAGAAGGTCTGTCCTCGGCTGTAGTAGCGATTCCGGTGCACACAGCCACATTCGTCAGCTGGCACGCACTGGTCTCCACTGAGGACATATCCAGCATCACAGAAACACCCTTCAGAACATGGTGCATCACACGTTGTTGGAGCAGAGGGGTCACGGCAGGTGGTCGGGCAGCTGGGTCCACAGACCTCATAGTGGGCATGACGGGGGCAGACGGGACCTGCAGGGAACATGGGAAGGGGAGTTAATATAGAGATTATGAGGTCACAGAATCCTAGGGAAGTGAGCCTGGAAGGGACCTCAAGGTCCAGCCCTCTGCTCAAGGTAAGACCAGCCCTGACTAAACCATTCCAGCCACATGTCCATCCAATTTGCTCCTGAACATCCCCAAAGATGGAGACCTAACCAGTGGCTGTCCAACCTTTTCTGGAAGACCTTCAGTGATGGAGAAACCACAGCTTCCCGAGGCATCTAGACCACTGAGGGACTACTGTGAAGAAGGAAGAAGACACCTTTTCTCTCTTGTTGCAGAGAGCATGACAAGGCTCAATAGTTTGAAGATGTAGCAAAGGAGGTTTAGATTGGACCTCGAGAAGCACTTAGAAATAGAGTCATAGAGGAGTCGGTATGGAAGGGATCTCACAGGATCTCACCTAGTCCAGACCCTTGCTCAGAGTAAAACTAGACTTGACTAAACCATGGTCTCAAGCACTGGAATAAGCTCCCCAGATAGGTGATGGGATCTCCATCCTTGGAGGTTTTGAAGACCTAGCTAGACAAAGCCTTGGCTGGGAGGATGTAGCTGGGGCTGATCCTGCTTGGAGCAGTGAGTTGGATTAGATGTGACCTCCTGAGGTTCCTCCCAACCCTCATTTTCTATGATTCTATTTCTATCCCACCCATGGGTCCATCCAGCATTTTCCTGGGCATCTCCAAGGCTGGAGACTCAACCATCAACCTCTTCTGGAACATGGAACACCTCCAGTGATGGAGAAGCCAAAACCACCTGAGGCATCTATTTCACTGAAAGGCTAACATGAAGAAGAGGGAGGATACCTTCTCCCTCTAGTTGCAGAGAACAGGACATGGCCCAATGGCTTGAAGTGACAGCAAAGAAGGTTTCGGTTGGATCTTAGGAAGAACTCAGCCCCTTGTACACATTACATACATTACGCAACTCACTGTTGCACTGGTGTATCACACAATGAGTTTAGATAGGCCACACGTGTAAAGACCAGCTGCCCGTGTGAAATAATTATCCCACAATGAACTGGTGAATTGCTCAATAAATGCAGACTGGCCACACATGCAAAGTAATTACCATGCCATAAAAATGGCTGTCCAGCTACAAAAAGCCAACCAGCTAGAAAGGTAGTGCTTGAAAAGGTGTGACAACTCTAGAAGTGGTTTCTATCCACGTTTAGGACTCTATGGAGTGAGTAACTTCTTCAATCTACCCCCTCCACCACCGCGGATTTGATTCCATTGGTCCACCATTTTCTTTCTCTCTCTGCGCTGCAACCCCCACCCCTGCCCCCTTCTGCCTCCCCTCCTCCCCACCCCCAGGCTTAGTTGGCTAACATTGTATTTCCTGTAACCTAGTTGCGTTCCCCTCTTCACCCCATCCCTTTTATGTTAGTCCCTCACATGGGCATTCTGTATTTCCCTTACAGCTTTGTCATTTTTTGGTTCATGATTCTTAATATTTACTAATAAAATTCAATATGAACAGGCAGCAGGACCAAGGCTCCTGCCATGTGTCCAGAAACCAGATATAAAGCTGTTACACCTTTTCAAGCACCGACTTCGTAGCTGGACAGCCATTTTGGTGGTACAATAATTCTCTTGCACATGTGGTGGATCTGCATTTGTTATGCAATTCATCAGTTAGTTGTACGATCATTAGTTTGTGCATGTAACTAGTGAATATTTATTGTGTGATTCACCAGTGAATTGTGTAATACATGTAACATATGGTGGGGGCCAAAGATACAGGCATTTCTATGCTCCTAGTTGTGGGTTTCTGTTTCTTTGCTTTTTAAAAACAGGGCTGATGTTTTTCTCTAGTATTGGCAGGGAAATAGTTCTCTGGAGGGTTCGAGGGATGAGAAACATTCCCTGTCTTGGCACAGAGTCGAAGTGTGAAGGGTGTGGACACTCATACATTCGGAATGCTGTCAAAACAGGAGGAGCTGAGAGCCATTCAAGTGTAGCCAAACTGTGGCCAAACTGTTCTGGCGCCCCCCGTCATTCTTGATGGGCAATTTGCTAGTGTGTGTGCATGTGTATATATGTGCATGGGTTTGCATGTATATGTATGTGTGTGTGTATGTGTGCATCTGTGCGTGTGTGAGCATGTCTGTGTAAATATATATGTGTGTATATGTGCATATGTCTACACATGTGCATGTGGGTGTTTGTGTATATGTGTGTATATATATATGTATGCACGTATATATGTGTGTGCATGTAGGGTGTGTGTGTGTATACAATTTGTGTGAAAGCATGAGTGGGTGTGTTTGTGTGTGAGAGTGTGTGCATGCATGTGTTTATGTGTATGTCTGTATATGTGCATGTGTGTGTATATTTGTGTGCATATATCTGTGTGTATATTTATACATATATATTATTTACAACATATGCATAAAACTGTTATCTATATATCTAAATATACACGATGCTATATTGTATATGTATATAAAGTATACATTATATATTATATATAAATATTTGTAATATAAAATGCATGAATATAAATTATAAGAATTGTTTTTGAAAGGCAGAATGAGGATAAAAGGTTTGTGAAGAGCTATGTCTACATAGAGCAGGGCCAGAGCCTCATCTTCACCTGACTCTCCCTCCCTCTCCTGCTTAATTGAAGCTGAAACCCTAGCTGCTGCTGCACACTGGTCTACTTGGTTGCACTGATGATTCTGAAAAGACCGAAAAGGTCTCTGAGGCTGTGAAATAGGAAAGAGACCACTTGTCTTAAGAAAGTTCACACATCAAGACCATCAAAAAAGAGAGGTGACTGTTAACACCTGTGGAGTGAAGAACAATGGGCCATGAAGTCAACTGACTCCCTCAGCTGCCTAAATAGTAATGCAAGGTAGAGCAAGAATGAAAGCTGGGGAGGTCTATCCCAGGAAGAAAATCAGCAGAAAATCTGGTTTGGGAGAGCTGCTGTTTTGGGCACAGGGCCAGACAGAGGCATTAGCAAACCGGGTAGCCACCCGGCACCCAGACACAAAGAGGGCCCCAAAATGGTATTTTTTTCCACTGTCCAATTATTATTATCATTATTTCTGATGAAGAG